TTTTACTGTCTCTGTGTGGTGACCAGTGTGTTCTGGATGCTCCCATACTCCACCCCTAGGTTTTGGATATTCTTACATGTTGCACAGGTCTCTCCGTTTTAATGTTCAGAGCTATAATCTATGGTAACTGTGCCCAGAACTCACATGTCAACTCTGTTATTATGAATAATATTAGAATACTATGAATACCCATTAAATTTTTTTTAATCAGTTCTTTTCTGGGCAGTTGGGCCCCAGCAAATGAGTTAAGCCGAGTTTCCATTTTCCTCATGAGAAAGATGGAAACACGGGTTCCTTCTCTTCCTCCCCCCCCCTCCCCGCCCCGTGTCTCTCTCGGGGGTGGAGGTGGGGCGTAAGACAGGGTCCCTGTACATGGTCCTGGATCCTGGAACTTACTAGGCAGACCAGGCTGGCCTCGAAATCACAGATACCCGCCTGCGTGCGCCACCGTCCCGGGCTGGAGCAGGGATCCTTGCTCCCTAGGAGTGTATGGAGGTATACAAAGCTCTTGGCTCACTCTTCACGTCCCTCAGGGTCATCGAGTCCTCAACACACACGGCTCAGGTGCAGAGGAGACCGGAAAGGGTGAGGGTCAAAGTGGAAAGGTCGAAAGGCGGGAGCCTCTGCACCGAGAGCTCGCTGGACCTCCGTTACCCCAGCGACCGCGGCGGAGGACGGCATCATGGAGTCCCAACAAGCTTTGCGAGCCCAGCTCCCCGGGGTTTCCTGCGCGGCGCCTGCTCCATCAAGCAACCAGACGCCCACACCGACGCCGACGCGGTTGCCTAGCGACACGTATTTTCCCCAAGATGCTTAGCAGTGTTATGTCTCCTCAGCCAATCAGAGCTAAGAGGCACCTTCGCCGTCGACCAATAGATGGCGAGGCCGCGGCCCGCGACGGTTGACCGGGCGGCCGGTAGATCTCGGGCTCGGGAGGTTGGCGCGGTTCCCCGGGCGGCAGGGCTGCGGCACGGCGCGGTTGGCCTGCGGCGGGCTGAGCCTGGGC